ATATATATATATATATATTTTGTATTGGGTCGTTCGGAAAGTTCGTGCCGATTAAAATTTAAATTTTAGTATTTAGTATTATACATTAATTAAATTAAAATTTTCTGCGTTTCAATTTTCCTTCAACATCGACATGAACTTTCCGGACGACCCAAATATATGGATGGTATACTAAACATCGTAAAACTACTTATATTTCTTTTAACGTAATGCTACTGGCTGAAATAAATCAACATCCAAATATCCATTTCACTAGACATTTTTTCACTAGACAGAAAAAAACGGAAAACTCCCCTTCCTAGATGTTCTCTCTAAAAAAGCTGATGGTACCTTAGGCCATCAAGTATAGAAGACCAATACACACATACAGATAGATATCTACATGCCGAGTCACACCATCATTCAACACAAAAACAGTCTACAATCAATTCACTTGTTGTAGAGCTTTCACCATCTCTGACAAAAAACATCTACAGACAGAATTCAATCACTTAAAAACAGTCTTACAGAAAAACGGACAAAAAGACATAATCAAAACAATCAATAAACAGGCAAAACAACGGTCTCTGACATACAATCAGACGAGAGGATCCTATCTATTCTCCCATATGTCAAAGGAACAACAGATTGGATTGACAGGATATTTAACAAACATAATATCCGAACTATCTTTAAACCACCCAAAAAGATAGGATAAATCTTAAGAAATCCTAAAGATCAAAGACCTCCCTTCAGCTCCGCAGGAGTGTACAAAATACCTTCCTGCGGGCAAGTATATGCAGAAACTGGAAGAAATTGGGGTCAACCTATGGATAAAAGAACACTAACATCAGATTAAAACACATAAATCAGCACTATCAGAACACAATATCGAAATAAGACATCAAATAGTGTTTGACAAAATGACCACAACAATCAACATTATACTTTCCAAGAAAATATAGAGAAGCCATAGAGATACAAAAACACTCTAAAAATCTAAATAGAGATAATGGCTACAACATAAATAAAATATGGAAAACTATTCTCCCGGTTAATGAGAATTGACCGATTCCCCCCCTCCCACCCACAATTCTCTTCTTTCCTTCCATCACCCCAACAAGTAGCGTAATATATAAAAGGAGAATGATTCGGAGAAACAGCTCAATATCAGGTTGCTCCTCGCCCTGATGAAGTGAACTGCAAGGTTCACGAAACGTTGGCATTCCAAGAATGGATCTGGACACGGAAGAAATCCGCGAAATGCATAATCTTTAGGCTGAAATAAATTTTTCTTTACATTTTAATTTGTCTGTACATTATCGATAAATATCGTTAAAGCTGTATCGATAAACGTGACTTGTAATGATCAGTGTCGGTGTGATTTCTAGAAGCCTTGATTCATCCCTGTCAGTCGCGTTAGCGACAAACGTCACTAGTTAGCGACAAATATCATTAAAAGTTATAGAATCGCGCCTCAGATTGTCCTATCATTGGCTATTAACGATAGCGACAATTACTATTAAGACGTTTAGAAAATCTCACATAGTAGATGTTTTCTTTTTGATAAGCGAGTTCATCTCGTGATGGGATCGCATATGATAATAACAAATCTTGCTCAATTTTTGTCGACAATTTGCCATAAAGTTAGGTCAGCAAAGTTTGCTCAGCTTTTGTTTATCAACTTGCTGTTAAATTACTTGCAAACCTTGCTTAGCATTTGTCGACAATTTGATCTCATATTATCAGTAGATTTTGTTCTTTACTTGTCATAAATTTTTTGACAGCTTTTGATACAACAAAATTTGCATCAATTTGGTGCCTTTTTTCTTCAAAATTTGCAGCAAGATTTTAGAAGATTTGTTTTCGATAGGATTTGGTTATTTTGCCTACTTCAGACTGGATGTAGTAAGCGTCAAGCAGCGGAGCAGCAACCAATCAGCAAAGCGATATTTACAGTGGCGTAAAAATTCATTCATTGGTTCATTGGTTGGTTGTTACTCCGCTGCTTTACGTTGCTGCGTCCAGTCTGAATTAGGCATATCTGAGAGCATATTTTGTGAAAGTTTGTTAACAGCTACTGACAATAAAAGTATGTTTCCTATTTGCAGCAAATCGGTATATTCTGTTGTCAACATTTGCGATTGTAGAGAAGGTTAAGAGTTAACACATGTTTATGAATTATTGAGTAACAAAGATAATCCTTATATCAGTATTAATATAATGTTTAAGGCAAGGGGAATCCTGTTTTACTAATAAAATGTAATTAATTTTTAATCCTCCAATCTCTTAATTGCATTTATAGATTTAAAATTAAAAATCTTTTTACACAATTAAAGACAAAGTGCGCAGACAACAATTTCATATATAAAAAACAAGAAATTAAAAAAATTATAATTTTATCAGCAAATTATAGTTTCTGTAGTTGACTCCTGATAACATGTGTTGCGTATAAGAAGAGATTTAGATCTTATATGCTTGTATGTTTTAAATAAACTTAGATCACTAGAGATAAAAATAATACTATATTTGTACAAATGAGCTAGGGGTCTTATAAAAAGACAGGAGAATTTAAAAATTTCATTTGTATACAAATATTAGTATACAAATGAAATAGTTTACAAATGAAATTTTTAAATTTTCAATGAACAAAATCGATGCGAAGAATAAAACAGAATACTAATTGTATTTAGTAATAGATACTGGATGCAAAAAGTTGCAATATATTATTTTAATACTTTTTTAAATGTTTTATTAATGCTTTGTAAGCGCTGTGAGCTTAGGAAATATTATCGACATCAATCAAGTTCGGCCATTTCCTTCAGCATTTTCTTAATATAAAGATATCTAAATGCATAATGTATAAAAGATACTAATACTGTATTTACAATTATAATATGCATGTATATATACATAGTTAGTATATATTATAAGTAATATTTTAAAGGTTTCAAGAGGCGATTAAATTAAGACAAAAATATGACGATATATCCGAAATGATGTCCGAAAATATAATATGTCCAAACATATATATGTTTATTCATCAAAATAGATGGAAGTGGCTTTCAAAATTTTTGGAAAAAACGAAATTTTTTCTTCAACTTTGGCATTTTGTATTCTTGAAATTAAGCCGTCTCAGATATATAGTCATATGGAAGATTTAATATAATGATTGTGAGGAACTATGCCTTAAAAACTTTTAGAGTACTTAATTATTACTCTGTATGTACAATACATACATACATACATACGCACGCGCTCACACATAATTTACTCAAACTTTGTCCAATTATTTTGTGATTTAATGATAGGTACATCCAATGTTAAACTGAATGTGTCCATTGCATCATTAATACTGTTGTCACTTTGATTACAAGCAGCAGTGTTTATTGTGAATGAATTATCACTATTAGATAAGCTAAATTTATTAAAATCTATACCGTACGCTTGTAATAAATCCGTATCACCCACATTATCGGAAGTCTTTGGCTTGTCAGTTTTGTGCGATGGTTGTTGAAAATAAGGATACAAGGGGTTACTAAGACCTTCGCCCATTTCAGGTAAATGTAATGATTGACTCATCTGTTTTGTGCTCGAAAATTCGGAAGATTTAGATAGAAGCGGATCAAAATCGTCATTGCTGTTTATTGAATCTAATCGTATTAAATCTGGGACGTCAGAAGAATCCTGTAAAAAGAAACACGCATTAATTATTCCAGTTTTATTAATTAATTGTAACAATAATATGCAAGAGAATAACATGAATTTTCAATTTGTAATATTAAATATTATTTTTAAATTTTTGTCATATGTTTTTGTACTCATTTAGTGGAAACAGGGATCGTTAGTATTCGATGAGTTTTTTAATAGATTAAGGATGTTTTATATATATTTTCAAAATGATAACAAAATTATAAAAAAAATACAGATTTAAATCATATTTAAAAATAATGACAAATTTGATGACAAATTTGATTTACTACCTGGATCATAAATTATTTTAAGGGGGAAAGGTTTAGAGTTGGAGCTGACATATACATATATATTCTGAATACTTTAACGAATAAAATCAGCCACGAAAATTTACAAAATATGAATAACTGAGGACCACATTGAATTTAAAAGCGATTACACGATTTGTGTACTATTCCGTGCCACGATAACTCAAAAACAGCTGCAGATATCGACTTCAACATTTTTTTTTAAAGTAAAGATAACAAAATTTTCCATAAACTAAACTTACTTTTGCAGATAAAAATTTATTTTTTAAATCCGTTTCAATAATAAATAACATGAATTTTTCGACATTTCTTAATTTTTAACCGTCATTTTTATAATTTTCAGATTTTAGGTTCAATTTATAGATTAGAATTTTACCAATAAAATGGTATCAAGAAAATTGAAAAATTCCAATTCGTTTACGCGAAATCATGGCAAGAATGTAGCAGTGCGCAAATCGCATAGTCGCCTTTAAATATGAGTACCAATATTGCCCTCAATTATTCTTTGTGGATTTTCGTGAATGATTTTATTCGTTAAGAAAGCATTCAACAAAACATGCTAAAAAGAAAATTTATGTATGTTTATTCATTTACCCATGACATTCAAATTTTACATAATTTTCAATCGTCCAACTTTTCCATCATCCTTAATAAATAGGCAATATTTTTTTAATCTGTGATCTAATAAAAATGTATGGAAATGTATTATAAAATAAAAAAGCTCAATTTTTTAATATAACTAAATAATATTCAAGATTATTTTTATGTATAAAGTTACATTGCATGAACTATGTTCTAAAAAATAACTAATTTCATTTTAAGGACGCAAATTATCAGGAATTGGAAAATTACTATCGAATAAAAAAATAACAAGTTACCATTACTAATTACCGATTTTTAAAAGTAATTCATTATAGTTACCGTTACTTGAGAAAGTAACTTTTCATTACTTTTCCGTTATTTTTTTAAAATCAATGACCAATCACAGCGGATAGTGCCTAGGGACTTTCTAGTCTCGAGCGCTATGGCTTGTGTCCAGTCAAACCATATTCAATCGTATGCAAAGTAATGATAAAAGTAACTGTAAAATTCGTTATTACAAAAAAAATGTAATTACATTATGTTACCAAAAAAAGTAATGTAGTTACCAATAAAGTTATCAAAAAAGTAACTTGTAACTGAAAAACTTCGTTACAAGTAACTTCCATTCTTTGTTTATTATGTAACTTCACAATTGATAGTTCAAAGTTGTAGAAAAAGAAAATGAGAACGATTTCGTTAACAATTGTTTGTTCTGCGTCGATTTCAAAATAGAAAATCGAAAAAAACATTTTTATATTTTGCTGTATTACTTCTAAAAAAGAAGGAATGCTGTGCAAGTTCATAAAAAAAAAAGTTATGTGATGTGTACTGTGAAGATATCCTAAAATTACGGTATTGTTAGAACTGGTCTGCTAAATTTCGGTTTGGCGATTTTGATGTTAAAGATGCACTACACTCAGAAAGTCCAATAGAAGATGAGACTATAAAATAAATTGATCAAATTCAATTACACAAAAGATTGCTGACAATCTTAAAATGATAAAATCGAACGTTGGAAAAACCATTTAAAATAACTTGAATACATTAATAATTTTTAAAAATGCAATTATTTTTTGGCCAATCCAATAAATAAAAATGTAATTTTCATATATATTTTATATATGTATATATA